AAGATCTTTAGCGGCCTTACATTGTCGCATGTAGAGGGCCTCCCCCTCCTTGAAGCCTTCAGCATTTGCATCGTTCACCTTCTTTGATAGCTCGGAAATCTCTGCATTTTTCTTTCCTTCGAGCTTGACTAGCTCGCGAAGGTACTTATCCTTCATTACAGTCAGCGCCTTCTGTTTATCAGCATTAGCCGAGGTAACTAGTCCGGTTAGACGAGCTACCTCGGCCTCTAGCTCGGCTGTCTTCTGTTTGGATTCTTTTAGCTCGGTGGTTTTTTCTTCAACTTCGGCCATGGCTTGCCTTGTTTTGCGAAGCTCTAGCATACGCTTATGGGCGATGTGGCTCTTCTGCATGGCCTTCACAAAAAGGAAAGACTTGTAATCAAACCGAGATAAAAGTTGTGCAAATTAAAAAGGTTAACAGAATATGCTACTTACAAGCACCATGGATTTGGTGGCTGAGCGGATGGCCTTTAGCTCGAACAAATTTTTGTGATGTTCCATGTCTGCTAGAAGGCAGACACTCTTGGCAAGGTTAAACGCCATTAAGTGATCTTTCTCAGTGACCACTGAGTCTGTGTCTTGTATATCTTGGTTTTGAAATGTAAGTTTGGGTGCCCACTTGGAGGAGCTAGCCCGGTTAGAGCCCTCCGGTTGGTTTTGGTTGAGAGGGCTCAGTGGAGGGCTCAGTGGAAGCATGGTTTCGTCCTCATCGACAAGGCGTTGCTCGGTTTGGGTAGTCCGGGCGCGTTTGCTTGGGCGTGATGAAGAAGGTTGTTGAGATGGAATGGCCACCACTGTTTCCTGAGTCTGGTTAGATGGTGGTACTTCGGCTCGGTTGGTTTCGGTTAAGAGGGCCTTCACTGTATTTCACTTCGCCATTGCTTCTTCTTCGGTAGTGCGAACCAGCCTAATTTGTGGCAAGTTGGGGTCCGGTTCGGGAAAGGCTTCCAGTAAAAAGTCTGTTACTCTGGCTTTACGTCGGCCGCTGTATCTGTACGTCAGCTCAAAATTCAGTAGCTTGGCCCAACTTCTTTCGGAATACTGAAGTGCGGCGCGAAGTGTGTTTAGGTTGGGGTAACTATACAGTGACTTGAGGTGGGCTGAATCTGCATAAAGAAGACAACTGTCAGTCTGGTTAAGGAATAAGATACCAAAACAAAACAGAAGCATGCAAAGAAACCGAGGTAATTATACTGGGGGTCCCTTTATTCCAGTTTATTCGGTCACTAGGAATCTGGGCTTCTTGGTCTTCGAAATTCCCAGATACCCAGAAAAAATCATCATCATTCAAGTCTTTGTCCAGTGTATCCTGTATTATTTTCTCTCGGCGGCGGCGTATTCTTAGATAATAGACTCAGCCATCTTCTTTTGATCCTATGGAGTATTGGTGGAACAGTTTGGCTAAGCCGAAGTTAATACCAGCCCGGCGGTTTAGCTCGGCTATACCATTTATTATGCGGTATGAATTAGTAGAAAGCTGGGTGGGACATATCCTAGTTTGCTTAAGGAATTCACAAAGTAAGGGCTGTACAGGGAATCTTAGGCCGGTTTCTACAATGGAAAGGGGGGTGAAGGGAAGAAAACCAGGGTTTCCCCAGGGTACGATATCTTGTTCGGCTAAGGTGAGATGGACGTCGTCAGGAATGTTATACTCCTTTCGGAATTCGGCCAAACCACCAGGTGTCTTTACTAAGAATCTATACTTCCCCATTTATACCTTAAGTTATAAATAAATTAAAGCCAAGTGTTAGATCGGTCGAAGATTTGTGCTGAGTAGCTCGGTTGAGCGCTCAAAGGAGTGCCTGGGCAACCTAAGTCTGCAAAAGTGAAAAAAAGAGAGAACAAAGGTGTTAAGCACAGACCATTGGACCGTGCTAAAGAGAAATAAAGGCAAAAATACATTAAGTCCTAGCCCGGCTATGTGAAACTCTACGTGTCTTAGCTCGGTTTTTGCAAGAGTGCTTTGTTATCCCGGTTTAGGCAAGGTACTCAATAGTTCAGTGTGTTCAAGGGGATTTATTATCCCGGTTCCAGCAAGGTGTTTGATAGCCCGGTTAAGCCTCAAGGGGCAACTTTCTCAGTTCGGTCTGAACTTGGAAGGCTGGTTTAGCCCCTAGATTCAGCTCGGGTGTAGTTACGATTTTCAAGGCTAGACTAATATCAACTACAAACGACTTTTTAGTTCGGTTATACTATGATTTGGATCAAAATCAATATTTTTCAGTTTATTCGTGACAAACCAGAAGTTTTATTACCCAAAAGAAGGGAATATGTTTTGAAAAAACACACAAAATACATGTGTTGTGAAAGCAAATACGACAAACAACAAAAACAAGGTAGGTTTGAGTAAGCTTACCAGGACAAGAAAGGATGAGAAAAACGGCAGCACCACCACGAAGCTTCTTCGAAAACAGATCGAAGAACTCAGCAAGCTCAGAAGCTCAGGAACGAGAGGGAGAGAAGAGGAAGTGAATAAGTGCAGTGCTTGATCCAAATGAAGAGTTTTTGTTTTGATACAATGGGACAAGGCGGGAACTGTTCAAATTACGCGAGGTACGAGGGTGGCGTGACAGCTGCCTTTAGCTAATCAGAACGTGCCACGTGTCATTGAAATGAGAATCGATTCAGTTGCTGTGATTGAAGGGACGTTTTGACCGGACAAGCTGAGCCCGGTATGGAATTTAGTTCGGCTGAAGAGCTTAAAAGTTTTTAACTCGGCTGGAAGGACTAAAAGGGTTTAGTTCGGCTGAAAAGGCAAAAACTTTTTTAGCTCGGCTGGGTACTGGTAATCCCTATCATGCTGCGCAGATGGAATTAAGGGGCAATTGAGAGGGTAATTTATATGAAAATTGGGCCTAGCTGGGTAATGGGCCGTTATGGGCCACAGTGCGAAGGGCTGAGTAAAAAGGCCATGAAGTTATTCCGGCCCAAGAGAGGTGTAAAGTTACTCCGGCCCAAGAGAAGTGTAAAGTTACTCCGGTCCCAAGGAGGTTAACTCGATCACCATACTAAAACTTATACCGGTTATGGCGCAGTATGGTTAGCTCGATCTAAACCTTGCTAAAAGTTAGCTCGGTTTAGACCTACCACGGTTTGTACAGGAGGAACTGAGGTAAGGGCAGTAAAAGGACGAACCAAACTAAGGATAGTTCGGTCTGTTCTACAGCTAAGCATAGCCATGCATACCTCGGCCACATTGGAGTCCGACCATGCTAAAACCATCTCACTTGGTTTAAATAGTGAGGGGGTGTTAAAGGATAGACATTATCTTTCAGGAATATGAATCCTACGAGGACTCTACATGGAGGAGTAAGAGTCCTACTTGGATTGTGCCACACGAAACCTATAAAAGCTCACCAACATCACCTATGGAGAGGTAGCACAACTTTGATTCCTGAATACGCAGGGCTTTTGTCTACTTGTCTATTTTGCTGACTTAGGTATCGGAGGGGTTTCTGGCACACATCCGCCGGTTAGCTCACATTTGTGTTTTCAGGGAGTAAAGCGACAACGTTTGGAGGAACGCGGACTTGATCAACAGGATTATACGAGAAGTTTTATTTCTTTCCCGTATAAGTTTGAATGATTTCACTCTTTTTGAGCTTCAAGAGGAAGTGAGCTTTGGTATTAGAGAAGAAGATTACATGTTCATGATGTGTTAGGTCGTGATGATGATGCAAATGACCAGATAAAGTGATCAGGTAAAGCAAAAAAATAAAAAATAAAAAGCAGTCTTGAAGAAAAGATGTCCCCTTTGATGTCTATTGTTGATTGTAATTGTCAATGAGAGAGAAATAAAAAGAGAAAGAGAGAGAGATAAAAGAGTGTAAAACTCTTCATGATGTGCCTCAAAGAATACTATTGTTTTTTGTTGCTTGGTAGTAAGTGATTTTCAAGGGTTTGCTCGTTTTGGGTTCTTTTTTTCCTCTTCTGATAAGCCTTTCCTTTTCCTAGTTTTGTCAATAAAAGGGTGTGTGAAAATGCAGCGGAGGCGGGACTATCTGTGACGGCAGCGCCACCGACGAGAAACTCGATTTTAGTTGCCATCACCGTCGCTTGCAACCCTCCTCTGTGTGTATGATCTGTTTCCTTCTCTTCTTCTCTCTCTATGTTGTTTTTTTGGTTTTTGTTCATCAATGGATTCTCTGTCCTCTCTCTACCAAATCTACCATGCTTCGAAGACAAAAGAGAGAGAAAAAAAAAAAAAAGTGCCAAAACGACGTCTTTTTGGCACCTCAAGCCATTCGAGCCAACTCATTTTCAAACTACGTAGCAGAGTTGTAAAACTCCTTTATTAGAATTCTCAATCATTTTTCTTATTAATATATATATATATATATAAAGAGAGAGAAATGCTTTTAACTTGGGAAAAAATCACTCAACAGCGAGAGAAATAACAGAAAATTTATTTATCAAAAAAAAAAAAAAAAAAGAAAATTAACCAAATCAAACCAAACTAACCTTTAAGTCTTATCATTAATACATTAAAAAAAAAAATCACTTATCATATTTTTGTAAAAAATTTTTTTAGAACAATACCAAAAAAATCAATCTTATCGCACTCATTTTATAGTCAAACTGATTTAACTTTATTTACAATCAACTCAAAATATAAATAAATTAAATTTAAATACATTATTAAAAAATTTGTTAAATTATCAAATTAAGAACCCATTATTCTACTCAAATCTGACTCCCAAATTATAAACTAAACATATTTAAATACATTTTAAAAATTGATTAAAAAATTAAATTAAATTTAAACAATCCACAATTGTGTTAGACTGACTCGCTTACCACCCCTTACTGCAAAACTGCCTAGAGCTGACTTGGTACTCCAATTGACCTCTGGCCCGAGGCTTTGGTTCTTTGCAATAGTAGCCAAATCCCTTCCCAAGCCGATATGTGAACAACCTGTTAGATGCCATGCCTTTCCTAATATGCATGGTAAAAGAGGAACACATAGGCTGCCATGGGACGGAACCAAAGAACCAAAAACAACTGTGTGCAAATCATCAACTCTCTTATTATTATTTTCACATGACAGGTGCAGACTCCCTGTCTTGGAGAGGGACGGGCAATAGGTCCAACCATTTTAGCTGAGAAAATTACTGCCCCAAGTTAATTAGTAAAACGAGTTCAATAAAAGGCGTCAGAAATCACAACATAATTTTCTGGTAAAAACCAAATTTGTTCACAAACAGAATGTATTAAGATTAAACTATTTTAAGTTAATGCCATACACAACTAATGAACTGGAGGAGGTAGGAATGGAAGTGGAGGAGGTAGGAATGGAAGTAGTTGACCATTTTAACAGTTTCTGGTGGTGCTTTGTACAACACAGATCATCAATCATTCACATTGTGAGATTTCTAATCTTGCAACAGCAGAGGCCTCTTTGTCCATGCTTCTCATTCCGCCAGGCTATGACATGCTCACATGCCCTAAGACCAATGCTGCCGCCTGAAACTTGCCTATTTAAGTTGAACCCACAAGAGGCTTTGGGCTAATCTTGAGCCTGCCCTTGCAACATTATAAAAGCACATACAACACTCCTTCAATTCAATAGTAGTAAAAAATACTTGCACAGAGCAAAGCAATTATTTCAAGTATAATTTCCAAACATATGTATTTGAATTAAAGAATCATAGAAATGCTAGACTGATCATTTAACTGACATTTGATGACTCACTGAATCATGGAGCTTGAAAAAAAAACAATAATAATAAAAATAGTAATAAATTGAGAGCGTGTGACCATGAAAATTACCTTCCAATTATCCATCGGAAGCCTTTAACTTTCGAGGCCTTTTATTAGACTGAGCTGGTGATGATGGGGCATCTGACAACCTTCCAGGTGCCTAGAAAACCAATATTGTCAAGAAAGTTAACATTCCCCAATTCTGAAGAAAAGAACCAGACATAAAATACATTGAGATGCATGAAATGAAATACAGAGAATAGGTGTGTACCTTCCGCTTCTGGTCCCTTTTACCAACTCTT